GTTGTGTGCCTTCATATCCTTCTCAACTTGTGACATACCCAAGGCGACCCTCTATCCTTGGGCAAGTTAATTCAGAGGAAGGTTTGCCATTGCCATCCTCTGAGGCTGAGACTGTGTGACTTGCCCAAGGTCACCCAGTGGGTTTCTCTGGACCACCTGGGACTCGAACTCTGCTCTCCTAGAGTCATAGCCCAACATGCTCAAACAATTACATCAATTGCTAGTCTCCTTTTTAATCTTGGAGTGGGCAATTGTAGCATTTTCTGCTCCTAGGACTTTCCAGAGGCCACACAGACTACCAACATTACCTGACAAGTGAAAAACAAAACCGGACACAAACAGAAGTGCATTTAAGCTTTGAGAAATTGGCATCTTTTAATGTTAGGCAGTGCATCATGGCCACTTGCTTGAAAAGGTGACTTCACATAACTGTAAGCTTCCATGAGAAAAATCTCCATCTCCTTCTCTTTCCTTCTTTCTCACATACAAAATTTTAATTTTTTCCTGGTTTTTATTTCTTTATTTTAGAAATATTTGTATTAACATCTTCCCCTTAAAAATACATTTAAAAACACACAAACAAACAATACAGATCTAGCCACAGATGCTGGCGAAACATCAGAAAGAAACTCTTCTAGAACATGACCACACAGCTCGAAAAACCCACCAAAAACAATACAGATCAACTTGATTTCCAATCATTTTCTACATTAACTATTCCATCTTCATAATAAATCTTCTGTGCTTAACTTCCAGTACTAGCAGTACTTGGTGTTATTAGTAATTCTTTCAAACTGTTCTTAAGTTGCAGTATATAAAATCTAAGCCAATTCTAACTTACATAAAAAGATTAATACTTAACATAATCATATCTTATCAAAAGAGAAAATGGTCAATTAATCCAAAATCCAATTGTATCAATATATCCTGTTGATTTTTTTTTCTTTTCTTTTGAGATGTGTGCAAAAAAGGGCATTCAATAGAGCAGCAAAAACAGGGCTCTGGTTTAGGGCATTTTGATGCAATAGGCTCTGTGACCTAGTAAATGAGAGAGCCAGCATAGCGTAGGGGTTTGAGTCTTGGGCTATGACTCAGGAGGCCAGGGTTCGAATCCCCGCTCAGCCATGGGAGCCCATTGGGTGAGATTAGGCAGGTCACACTCTCAGCATCAGCAGAAAGCAATGGCAAACCTCCTCTGAACAAACCGTCCCAAGAAAATCCCTTAAGGTTGCCATAAGTCAGAAATGACTTGAAGGCACAC